ATTTTAATTTAGCTTATTTCCCCTAATTTTTCACTATTACAAGCTAATGAGCACGCTATTGTTAAATCTTTAAGGGTCTTCGTGATTATTTCACCAGAGTAAATTCTTTTAAATAAAATTACTGGAATCATTGCCTCAAAGGATATGAAATATAAATTGTACTGTAGCCTGAATACAAAACTCTTAGAAGCTATCAGCAGATATAAGATCTTAGAGTGCAGGACAGCATTCCAACCCACTTCAAACAGGCTTTCATGCTCACCAATCCCCTGCATAGCTCTTATCTTCTGCATCTTTTTGACTCTGATGCTCATTCCTTTGTCCTCAAAAAACTAGATTGCTCAGCAGCATTTGACGTGGATGACTATCCTACTTGTCGAAAGATGCCCCTATGTATCTCCCAGGACACCACATTCACTTAGTCGTCTTCCCCCCACATTGGTTCCTCCTTTTTCTCAGTCTCCTTTGCTGGTTCCCCTCCCTCTGCCAGACTCATTTTCTATAAGGAGAGTGGCCCCGGCCTCCTCTTCCCCATCAACTACCCGGGCTTTATCTGTCATTTTCACATCTGTAACTTTCATAATTATGACCTCCCTGTCCCTCCTGAGCACCAGAAACACACACCTCACTGCCCAACAGAATTATCGATCTCCTTCATTCCCCTGAACCTTTCCTATCTCAGCAAACGGCATCACCATCTACCCTGATGATCAGATAAAAAACAAAAACAAAAAAAAAAAGAAAAAAAACCCCCAAACACCTAAGCCTTATTCTTGATTCCTCTCTCCCCCACACACCATGTTCAATCCATTAGTAAATCCTCTTGATTCTACTGCCAAAAATATATAGTGATTCTAACCACTTCCCATCGATCCCACAGTTACAACCCTAGGCCAAGCCACTGTCATCTCTCTTGAGAGATGGCTTCTGTGGTTGACATTCTCATCAGATCCTATCCAACAGGATAAAAGACAATTTCACAAAAGGAAATCAAAGTGCTGTAGCCAAAAGAGGTAGAATTGATGATAAGTGTCTAAAGGCAACAAACGACCTCTGGGCTTGTTTTTACCTATTTTTTTTTTAATTTCACAAATTTTATAGGTAATATTTAAATTTTTACTTTGGAACATCCAGTATTCCTATAATATGCAATATTATAAACTTTTTTAGACACAAT